AAACCAAACTTCACAGTTCTGCAAAGAAAGAACTGGCACCGCTCCCTTCATTCCTTAACACGGAGTCATAATTCACAAAGCCGCACCCATAGGCTTATGCGCTTTTTACACACAGGAACAACAGCACACTAGGAAAAGCTAAAGAAAGAAACATAAACAGCCACCAATGTGCACTGATATGAACTGTGTCCACACATAGCAGTGGAGTTTCATGCTCCTTGATATGTATCACCACCTTCCTTCCATTTTTGTTTCTACCATTCTCAATGCAATGACTTCATTAGCTCCCATCAGCCTCCTTCCTCCACCCCTCACCTTGGTAAACCCCTCTACTTTGACAACAATTTCCTAGCTTTGCTCATGGGGATCTGTAGACTCAGCTTCCTCCAGCCGTGCACAGCCTCAAAGTAGGAACAAGCTCTCTGGAGGACAGGGGTCAGAACGTGTTGTAAATAAGCATACAAATACTGAGGTTAGGTGGGAGTGGAGTCAGAGTGTGAGAATTATGAACCCCTGGATGAGAGGTCATGAAAGGTTTTTGACTGCTATGTTGCTTCAGAGTCATGCATAACCCGACACAGTCCCTGTCAATACTTTCCTGCCCCGTGACAAGACATGAAAGTATACCACAGAAACCTCTGTCATGTTGTCTGAGGACGACAAATGTGATTTCCAAACCACTTGTTGTCACTAAAGCTGTGTAATGGAGAAAAGGAGTTGTAGTGAGAAGTTAGAGGATAGTGGTTTGAATGTGTTGTATTGGAAAAAACTTTGAAGCAGACATGCACGCTAAAGCCTGACAGACTGTACGCTGGTCATAAATTAACCTTTATCTGTCAAATCTTGACAATGTCTCATCGCTGGAGTAAATACAACAATGGGAATATACAATACACTCAGTGGCCACTTCCACACCTGCTACCTTTCTACAGCTCATTTTGTTCTGATTTTGGGGAAATGTGTACATTAAATTTGATGTTTATTATTGAGGTCACATTACAAATCTACATGACCTCTATGACAGTGTTAAAAAAAGTGAACATCACAGGCATCATGAAAAAAGACTTTTGTGGCTTTACGATTATACTGGATTACATTAGACTGTACAGCTGTACATGATGGCCACTGATTGTAGTTTCCAAGGCAGGCGGGGGTCACTGCTGTATAAAGCAGCTATGTAAAGCCATGCTGTTAGCATGGCTAAAAACTAGAGTTACATCTGGTTCTGGCCTTTCCAGAACAGCTTGCATCCTAACTCATGTCAGAAGTATGTAGCCCTATGAGAGGTTTAAGGTGATTACCTGAAGTATTTGAATGTCTGTCTAAACCTCATACATTTATGGGTGTTTTTGAAGTAGTTTGTTATTTAATGTAGCCAGGCTGAATGGAATAAGGAGCTGTAGTGAAAGGCTATTAACAAGAAAGACCATCCATCTTCCCCAGAGTAAAGTACCAGGCCTCTCCCTGCACTAAACCCTGTGTTTCCCCAGCTCCAAATTACAGTGATTTTGGCCTGACTATGATCTGTTCATCTGCATTGGCTACTGTCACCAATAATCAGACGCCTCTCTTGGGAAAGGAAGGACCGGTTTATTCATTTATAGCTCACAGGCTGCTGGGAGTGCAACAACCTCTCGTACTGTTTCCATCACAAGGGACCAGAGCAATGTTAAGAACTCCAGGATTCAGCGGAGGACCACCCAGCGAATTGTCGTGTGTGTAGTCTTCTCACCAGGAGTTGACTCATGCCACTGTTGCCTCAGTTACAGAAAACAACCTGCAATTTTCAGCTTTGCAGACGGATTTAATGAGATGATACATGCAGTGAAGTGTCCCCTTAAATCCCCACCACTCGGTCTGTTTGATGAGTTATTTATCTTACAATTTAGCTAAGGGAAAATGTCACATCTCTCAAGTTTATTTAGGTAAAAGGTTACTGCCACAATCATCTCTCAGAGATCAATCTAATTCCACAGCTGCCTCATTGTCCTAACCACACCTGTCAATTCAGAAAAGTTGATTAACAACCTAAACCACATCACATCAGGATGTAACATATTATCCTAAAGATCATGATCAAATCACATCCTATGCGAATTTACACACAAAAAAAGCTGTATGCTCTCACTCTGTAACACACACACACACACACACACACACACACACACACACCACACTCGTTGTGGTTTCCCAGCCCCGCCCCCACACACACACCAAACTCGTTGTGGTTTCCCAGCCCTGCCCCGTCCTGCTTAGCAGGCATGTGTTCCAACATGCTGTTTACTTCTCCTTTACAAAAGACACCACATTGGACAGAAGATATCGCGCAAACACAGCAAACCTCAGTGCAGTGTGTCAATATCAGCAGCACTGGATGATAAACTGACACTGACAACAGTGTGAAGCATGACACATCAGCATGAAGTCAACTGGGGCTGATAATAGTCTTTACACCGTCAAGAGATAAACTGCAGATCTGGAATCATCATTTATTGATTATGCTATACCTCTGACAGCTGTGGAGCTCTAGGACTCAGTCAATCTGAGTCTCCACTCCACTTTTATATGCTTGAATTCAACAGAGTTAAAGCAAGGCAAAGCACTGACACCTGCCTCGCCCAAGGCAAACACAGCAGTGTTGGTTCCTGTACATAGCCAAGTCCTACATAGCCAGATCTCCATCTTACTCTGGGCCCTACTCAACCTTGTGCTGACAAACTGCTGTGTCAAAGAAAGAAGTCAAGTCAGATGTTTAAAACTACTTCAAGACCAGGTGATTCAAACATACACACCCTAGACAGATGTGTCAAAGCAGAACTGCAAATGATCCTCAGTATTTGTTTTAAACAGAATGCCATTAAGGTGGGATTTATAGCACAGGAAAACTCAGAAAATGTTACCAAGCTCACTCTTAATATTCTTCTGACGTGCTGGTTTGTTTAGAGTGGAAAAACTGCAACCATCTAAACAAGTACATTCATTTAAGTAGGTTAAACACCATCAGACCTGAAATAAGAGTTGGACTTCAGTACAGCAGCCCACCCTGACAAAATGCACACAGTATTCATTTTAAGTTCATGTGTAATCACAGCCTTATCAACTCTAGGGAATATGAACAATGTTAGT